ACTCTCCCGGGAGCAGTGGGACACACGGCGTCCCGGAAGCACGTGGGCGCGGCGCCTGAGCCAGCAGAACGCGCAGCTTCCGGCAAGGCAGCCAATGGAATCCGGCCTGGCGTCGGCTTCCGGCGCTTTCCTTTGTCGTTTCCGGCCGCGCGCGGGCTTCTGGCGGAAGTCTTAGGGGCCGCGCTAGGGGAGGCTGGAGAAGACTCCCGGGAGCAGTGGGACACACGGCGTCCCGGAAGCACGTGGGCGCGGCGCCTGAGCCAGCAGAACGCGCAGCTTCCGGCAAGGCAGCCAATGGAATCCGGCCTGGCGTCGGCTTCCGGCGCTTTCCTTTGTCGTTTCCGGCCGCGCGCGGGCTTCTGGCGGAAGTCTTAGGGGCCGCGCTAGGGGAGGCTGGAGAAGAGCTGGCAGGATGAGCTACCGCCGTGGAGTTGGTTATTTTCGCTTGCGGTTATTTTCCCTTCTGTGTGGAGTTGCTTGTGGGCGCGAAGGTGATAATCAGGTCGCAGAATTACGTTGGTGGACTGCACACTGCAGGATATAGAGTATGTCCTCTGCATGTAATCTCAGATCAGGCGAGAGGAAGAAAGATAATTATTCAGAACACTTAACGGAAGTCTGAGAATTGAAAAAGGAGGAGGAATCTTTTATTTGAACAGTTTGTGCCGAATCCACCACAGGTAGATTTGTGACCTGCCAAGTCCTTGCCAAAGGTTACTGAGGTTCAGGGAAGTGAAATGCAATACATTGCTGCTGTTGCACGTACGGAGAATTAATTTTCATAGACATTTCTCAAAAGCAGCCGTGAAACCAGGAGTAGTGGCGCACATGAGTAATCCCAGCCCTCTGCAAGACTGATGCAGGAGGATCACAAGTTCAACCTCGCCTGGGCAACTTAGCGAATTAGCATACCTCAGAATAAAACATTGTGTAAAAGGCATAGCTTAGTGTAGGGGCCCTGGGTTTGATCCTCAAAAAAGATAGATACATACATAGATATATAAACAGATAAATCAGGATCTCACTAAACTGCTCAGGCCAGGTTGTAACTTGTGATCCTTTGGCATCAGCCTCCCATAATGCTCGGATTGCAGGCATACACCACAACATTCTGCAATCTTTGGCGGGGGCGGGGATTTAGCTCAGTGGTTCTGCTGCCTGCCTTGCAAGTACAAGGACCCGAGTTCAATCCCCAGTACAAAACAAAAAACCAAAGCCATAAAAAGTTTCAATGTGTGATGCTGTGAAGCCAGAGTATAAAAGAAAATAAGTCAAAACACAAATTGTGCTCTGTGTAACTGTTAAGTGTATGAAGAGTGTATTAGTCATCATTCTGCTGCTGAGACAAAATACCTGACTTAGCAACCTAAAGGCTGAAAGGTTTCTACTGACTCTCAGTTCCAGAGGTTTGGGCCCATGATCCGCTGACTCTAGCGCAGCGGAAGGTGCTCACCTCCTGGCAGCCAGGAAGCTCCAAGAAAGGGAAGGAGCCGTAGAGGAAGGGACCACCCGGGACCTGCTCCATCCCCCGGACCCCACTGCTGACAGCCTGCACAATGGCCGGATGAGCGCCTCTGTCCATGCGTATTTGGAGGATACCTCTGTTTAAACCAGAACAATGGGTGTAGCATTGCTAATCCCTAGAGAAAAAACTGCTTTTTCAATAAGCAGTGCCTCAGTGAGTCACTACCTTTTGAGAAATTTGAAATTGACAGCACATGAAATAGCACCAGTCTGCTAGCTTGTGAATTCTGCGGAGCATAAAATGTGATTTTTTTGTCTTTGGGTCCGTGCTGCATTTTACATATATATATATATATATATAATCAGGCACTCCATAAAGAGTCACATTTTAGTTGCATCTACTATTGGATTGGATTTTTTAAATTACTGTTAGACAGAAACATCTCTCGGGGAGTGAGTCAGATGGTACAGAACGATCTCTGAGCAGCTGGAAGAACTCGTTGAGCGCGGATGACCCACACATATACCTAGCACCTGTCTGAGGGACCTTTTCTTCGGCTCGCTCATTCATTCCAGGACCATGTGAGCCCCCCATACAGCACAGAGAGGACTGCTGACCCACATCCCACCAGGCTGTGTAGACAAGCGGAGGTGGTGCGTTTCCGCCAACTTGGGGAAGTCCATTTCCAGCACGGAACTGAAAGCTGACCCTGAAATCTACCAAAGGCAGCAGACAGTGTGATTCAGTCCAGAAACATTGACCAACGTGGAGACATTCATTCCAAAAATGTATCCTAATTACAATCCTGGAGAACCATCGTTGGAGGGAAACAATTATGGTTTTCACCAATGAAGACACAACCCATAGTGTGGGAAAACACTTCTGCCAGCTGTTCCCCAGACAAAGGACTATTATCCACAATATATAAAGAACTCAAAAAAATCAGACCCCCAAATTTAAAGACTCAATTAAAAAATGGGCAACTGAGATAAACATTTCTCAGATGAAGAATTAGAAACAGCAAATACATTTATGAAAAAATGTTCAACATCACTGGTCAATTGAGAAATGCACATTAAAACAATGCTGAGATTCCATCTAACCACAGAAAGAATGGCTGTGGTCAGGAAATCAACCAATAACAAATGCTTGCCAGGCTGTGGAGAGAAAGCAACCACTGTGGAAATCAGTGCGGAGATTCCTCAAAAAACTAGGATTAAAGATTCCATGTGACCCAGGTATTCCACTTCTTGGTATCTTCCTGAGAGAAATTAAAAGCAACACATCACATCAACATATGTACATCCATGTCTATAGCAGTACAGTTTGTAATAGTTAAATCTTGGAATCAGCCCAAATGCCTATCAACGGATGACTGCATAAGGAAGATGTGGGGTTCTTTTAATCCAATGGAGCACTACTCTGCCATAAAGAAGGATGAGCTTGAGACATTTCTAGCCAAATGGATGCACCTGGAGACCACCCTCCCCTTTTTTTGTACTGGGGTCAAACTCAGGGCCTTGTGCTCACAAGGCAGGTGAGGTGCCACTGATCTAAATCCCTGGCCAGAGACCATATTCTTAAGTGAAATAAATCAGACATAAATGTTTAAATACCACATTGTTTCTCTGGTGTGAGAAACTGTAAACAAGGACCAAAATGTATACTAGATATTGGGAAATGGGAAGAAAATGTTCAAAGGAGAAGGGGAACAAGGGAGCGGGGAGGAGAAAGGAAAGAAGGGACAAGAAAAAAAGAAGGAAAAATGAAAACAAAGCTTTTGTAAATGAGGGGAAGAGGGCTGAAAAGAGAAGAGGGGAATGGAGGAAAAGCAGTGAGGTATATCGTGTACAGGTACAAGTCCCTGTGACAAATGTGACCCTTATTGTCTCTGAAACACACCAATAAAAAGAAGAAACAATTACCGCGGTGACCCTGGCTCTCTTGTGGGAAACTTAGGTTCATGTTGCACTTTTTCTATTGCAATTGCCAGGTGCAAGAAGTCGGGGGGTTAAGTAGGCAGACTGCAGAGTTTTGAGAGCAGTGAGACTTTGCTACGACTCACGGTGGCCACAATTTTCCTCCCTAAAGTCCAGCATGATAGGGCTCCCTCTGACCTCAGATGTTTTAAGCCGCATTCCTTCCTGGGGTGGCGCACACCTGTGTAGCGGGGTCTCCTCCTCTGAGACCTGCAGAGGGGAGCAGAAGGGCCACACCTGCCCTGGTCCTCCACAGATTTCTCTTTGTTTTTTGTTTGTTTGTTTGGTACCAGGTTTCAAACTTGGGCCCTTGTGCTTGGGAGGCAGGCGGCAGAACCAATGAGCCAAATCCCCAGCCTCTGTTTGTGTTTTTGAGAGAGGGTCTCACTACGGAGCCCAGGCTGAATTTGAACTAGCAGTGATTCTCCTGCCTCAGCCTCCCTGAGTACTGGAGTCCAGAGTGCTCCCCTCACGGGGCTGTCCCTTCCTGCTGGCCTCCACAGTGTCGCTCAGGGAAAAGCACTTCGCTCTGCTCCGAGCTGCTGAGTCTCCTCTCCTGCCGTGGAGGCGGCTGCCCCTCAGCGCCCCGCCTGGTTCATCCCCGAGGCCGGCTGGGCCCGGTCCCCACCAGCACTGGGCTCCGCTCACACTCACACGGGGGCAGCCGCGTAGGAGCTGATGGAGGCGACAGGAAGGCCTGAGGGCGGGGGAGGGAGAGCAGGAGAGCCGAGCCCACGCACAGAGACGCTTCAACAGTGAACCGCGCTGAAGTTTCCCCTCGGTGGACCCCTGAAACTCTCTGGGCGGGGCCAGGCGCGGACCAGGCAGGGGTCAGGGACTGGGCAGTGCTGATAAACCCCGGATCCATGCCCTTCCCGGCCAGAAACGGGCCTGGGGTCGTGGTAGGCAGACTCGCAGGGAGAGTCTCTGTGTGCACACGTCAGCGTGGCTGGGAAGATTCTCCAGTATCCCAACCTTGAACGGGGTTTCCTTTGAAATTACTGGGAGTGGTGGCAGAATCTGTCCTGCCCACCACTACCCCAGCCGGTCCATTGCCTACCAGGCTGGCCTGAGGTAGTGGTGCACACCTGTAGTCCCAGCACTCGGGAGGCTGAGGCAGGAGGATCACCGAGTTTGAGGGCAGCCTGAACTACATAGCAAGACTCTGTCTCAAAACCCCAAAAATAACCTTCACACCGAACATCAGCGGGTCACCTCCCTCTGCCTTCAGGGCAGGCCTGCAGGTGAGCTCTGCAGCTCTCAGAGCAGAGGGAGGAGGAAGCTGGACCCCTCAGTGGCTCCCCTTCGGCCTGCATAGCAGAGCGGTTTGGACCAGGCAGGACCAGGCAGGCTGCTCCAGAGTCGTGTGTGAGAAAGTGTGACCTCTGAGAACCAGAGCGACCTCAGGCTGGGGCATTTACAAGACCGGAGGAATCAAACTGCCTGCGTTTTGCTAGTTTGGGGGGTTGTTTGTTTGCTGAAGGACACCTCGATGCCTGCCAAGGTCTTGCATGAGCTGTTGTAAGAGCCGGTGTTTTACACTAAGGGTGTTGGGGAAATTAATTATCCAATAGCTGCCTCTCTCGGCAACCAAGCAAACTCCTTTTTTTACCTAGATGTAACATTTTATTTATTCTTAGAAAAGAATTTTAAATTAATTAAAGAATTGTAAATGTCAAATACTATACTATATACCGTCTCTAACAGAGCTAAGAAAGAAAGAATAGGGCCAGGCGGCAGAGCGCTGGGTTCAATCCTTGGCATCACACAAAGAAGGAACATTTACAAAAATAATTTCAGCATCGTTTGAATTTTGCTTTAGCCGTAATCTCTGATTCATATTTCTGAGTAGAAAAGGCCATTTTATGATCCGTACGTTAAGAGCCAGTAATTTTTGGAAGTATTGGGTAGTGAGAGAGCAACCTCCATTTCACATAATATCAGGTCTCTGAGGTAGAATTTCAAAGCCCCATCGGTGTCCTGCGCTTGTTAAAGGGACAGGCATGAGTGTGCCTAACAGTGTGATATACACCGGAGTGCAGTCATCTCAGACTTGGTGGTTCTAATCAGCATAAGATTTGTATTTTTAAAAAAGACTTCTCCAGCCAAAAAACCCAGAAATTGTGTAGAGAGAAATTTTCCAGAGCGACACCTGAAGATTAAAGGGTTGCTGTTGTTGTTGTCGTCACACTTCGATTGTTTGCTTTGTTTTTCTCCCTTCAGCCGGCTGGGGAGCAGTTCCCTCAGAGCTGACTTTCTGGAAATGACTTTTGTTCCCACCTCGCTGAGGACCGCTCTGTTCCCCCTCTGTCCCCCCTCTGTCCCTCCTCCCCTCCTGCTGTCTGTGGCAGGAAGGAGGAGGGGACCGGAGGGACACAGGCGGAGGAGCGGGAGCAGGCTGTCTGCGGCCCAGGGCTCCCACTTGTGGATCGGCAGCCGCCTCCCCAGGCCCGGCCCGGCCAGGGTGCCACCAGGGAACCGACGTGGCACCTGGTGGCAGCTCCGGATCCCGCCCGGCTTGGCTGGGTACAGCATGGGCGCGGATGCTTGGCAGCAGAATGGACAGGAAAAGCCCCCGGCTCCTTTCCCTGGACCCCGGCGCCTTCTTCCTTCTGTCTGCGGTTTAGCAGGACGCCAAGTCCCCGCAGCCAAGGCTGTGACTTGGTCCTCGCAGCCCCCTGTCCCCACCCCTGCCGCCTAGCCCCAGTCCTGGCCATGGGGTGCGGGCTCAGGAAGCTCGGGGACCCTGAGGACAGCAGCCCTGGGAAAATCTTCTCCACCCTCAAGAGACCGCAAGTGGAAACAAAGACGGACTTGGCTTACGAGTACGTGCTGCTGAACTTCACTCTGCGAGGTACTGTGCTCCCCTTGGATCTCTCAGTGTTTCCAAAGTGAGAGGTTGCTCGTTTGGAAGCCGTGTCTGTAGGCTCCCAAACTGGCCTTCGTAAGCAGATTGTAAGACCCATCTGACAGGCAAGCTTTGTTCCTTCATTAGGTGGGAGAGTTTTTGTTTGGTACCATGGCTTATAGGCATTTTACAGAATTAGGAAGAATGCTCCGGACTGCTTCTTCCGTTCTGAAAGCAAATGGTTGTGGAGGGTTGGGGAAGATGCTTGGTTTCCAGGCCGAACAGCCACGGCCTTGGTGATCGCTTGGGTTTGAAACAGGTTCCAATGCTACTTGTGTCAAACTCGGGCAACTCCGAGCTGCCCGCTGTGTTGAATTGTGTGATTGTGCTGCTCATCTGGTATTTTTGACCGATCTAAATTTAAGTCTGAAACTGCGGTTTAAGAAGGGGGAAAGCAGGCTGCTGAAAACGCCCTCGCTTGCCGCTGTCCCGGACAGAGGAACTCTGTCCCGGAAAGTTGGGAACAACATAAACAAGTCCAGATGGCTCAGGGGACGGGCGGGCGGCCCTTCCTCCGGGTCTCTGAGTCTGGACACTGCCCAGACAGAGCTTTCAGAATGAGCTCTGTCTCTGTTTGCTCTGAGCCAGAAATGAAATTTAGGTAACTTGTTTGCTGCTAAGATTTCCAGATACTGGGCTTTTAAGATCTACTACAAACTTATATTTTAACGCTCAGAAGCCACTCATTCGGTTGGGACAGACGAACTAATCATCCATCGTGCTGGATGGTGTCCAAATTCTTTTCCAACTTGAACACAAATTCTCGTTTCTTCTTCTTCTCCTCGTCCTCCTCTTCTCCCTCTTCTTTTTTCCCTCACTCTGGAAACAGTGCATCTCTGTGCGAGAGCGAGAGAAGCCCATTTTTCTTTGTCAAAATCTGAGCTGGCCGGCACACCCTCCCTCCCAGCACACTCCTGGCCGAGCTCACAGCTCGCGGGAGGAGGGTTCAGGACTCAGCCTTGGCAGGGGCGGTCGGCAGCTCCTTTGGAGGCCTCTGGCCAGCGAGCCCGTGGGTGTCGCAGCGCGGACACAGGCCTCAGAGCACACCTGGCCCCCTCTGGGCTCCGTGCCCCGGTCTCCCCACAGCTCTGTCTTTTGCTCACCCAATTGTGGCGGTCCCTGCTGCTGCACAGCCCCATCCAGCTCACTGGCCTCTCCTGGGCAGGCCTGGTGTCTCTCCTGGATCTCCAGACAGAGGCGAGCGGACAGATGGCACAGCCCGCTGTGTCCAGGCGCTGTCATTACTGTTTTCTGCTCTGCTCTGTCCCCTCCGTCCCGCCGACCATCTCACAAGAGCGGTTCCAGCGGCGCTCAGGCGACTCAGCCCTCTCGGAGGGTGAGCAGTGGCCCTCACCTGAGGGCAGTGTGTTTCACAGCTGCCCCTGGGATGTCGCCTGTCACCTCTGCCTCTACCTGGGAAGGGCCCTGTGTCTCCAGAGCTAGGGACACTGGGCCTCTCCCTCCTCCCAGACACCTCTCCCCAGAATTCTGACCAAGCCAGAGCAGCCCCTGCAGTCCTCTGGCGCACGGTCACCGCAGATCACTGATGTGGTCTCCAGGCTCGAACACTTTTCTGATCGGGCCATGCAGTTGCCCGTTCGTATTTGTGCAGCCCTAACTTGGCAAGAGCTGCGCGCACTGCCGTGATGAGGACTTTATGGAGCCTGAAAGGACCGGAAGTACCCCTCCTCCTTTAAGGAAGGTTGAAGTCCCGGCCGGTAGGCTGTTTTTCTGGAGCTTTGTGCCAAGTCTGCCACCCACGCCAGGCAGATTTCGGGACAACTTTGGTGATGTCTGGATTATTGTTCTGATTTCTCCCTCGCCACATCGTGGTAACAGTTCGTTAGCAGCTTTGACTTTGGCTGATTGGTGAAAATTGGGAGTTACCCAGAGATTTCTTACTGTGTATCTGTCTCTGTGTGTAAGAGAATCACTCTGTGAAAAGCTAAATTAACTTCGCAAACAAGCCCAGATCATGAGTTTACCTTCTTACACAATCCCAGAAAATGTTAACCACCTCAGCGGTTCTTAGAACATTTCTAACATTATGCGTAAGAGGAGTTTCTGCCACGCAAAGCCGCCAGAAGGATGGATGGTAACTTGAATTTCTGGTACAAGCGCATGAAGACGAGCTGGTAGAGCGCTGCTGGTTTCGGGGCTGCTTCATGATCCCGAGAAGAAACTGTCTGTCTTCCACCACCCCTGCTGGGGGCAGTGTGCCCTGTACAGTGTCAGCTCTGGAAATGCAGAGGGTGAGGCGTGGGTGCCCCCTCCCCGAGGTCACACCGAATGAGCCCGGGAGTCCTCAGGGAGGGACTCCTGCTCGCCCGCCCACCCTCCCTGGGGCCCACGCGGGCTTTGTGCACAGCAGTGCAGGGAGGTTTGTGGAGTTGAGTGAGTGCTGGGTGCATGAAAGGCTGCAGTGCACAGCGCGCCCTGCAGGCACTGGGAGGCAGCAGGACAAGGAGACGTGGATTTGAGCAGGGTCAGCGGGAAGTTAGGTTTGGATTTTAATGACCTTGAGGAAAAATCGGAGCTCAGATAAGGAGAAAGAGATGAAGTCCTGGAGGTGAGACCAGAGCCCTGGGACCAGAGTGGTGAGCAGAAGCTGCTGGGAGAGAGGGTGAGCGGAGAGGGCTGGGGCTTGGCCCAGGGCTGAGATGCAGTCTGTGAGGAGTGCATGAGGAGAGACAGCTCCGCGGCAGGGCACAGGCCGTGGGCTCCTGGTGGGAGGGGCAGCGGAGCGCGCACACAGGTGCTGGTTCTTCAGTCTTTAAGAGAAAGCACCTGGGCAGAAGACAGTGCTGCTGGCACAGTGTCATGGGTGAGGGTCTGGGCACAGCCATAAAGAAAACAACTCAACAAACTGCTCGGCACAGGGATGCACACCTGTAATCCTAGCCCTTGGGAGGCTGAGGCAGGAGGGTCAATGTGAGTCCGAGACCCCTGAGGGCTACAAAGTGAGACCTTGGCTCATTTTAAAGGGGGGGAGCAGGGATTTAGCTGCCTCACAAGGTCCTGAGTTCAATCCATGGTACCAAAAAAAAAAAAAAAAAAAAAAAAAAAAAAAAAAAAGGGGGTTTTAAAAAAAAAAAAGAAGAAGAAGGAAAGGAAAGGTGCGGGGAGAGAAGAAACAAAAATGTCCAAGAGTGAGGACGGTACTGTAGTGAACATGGGAAGAGGAAGGTTTTGAAACACAAGAAGTCATCAATAATTTTAGAGAACATTCGAGCGGAATAAGACTACTAAAGCAAATGAACTTAAGCATCAATTTGAAATGAGTAAAGGATCAGAAGTGAGGGTTAAATGGAAAAGCAAGAAGGAAATGAGGGTCCAGTTGAATTCTCCTGTGTCAGCCTAATAAAGCCCAGTCGGTGTCTCCCCATGGCCCAGGCCCATCCCACAGAGAACTATGCGCAGAGACATCAGGAAACAACTCAGCCCTGCCACGGCCCAGCCCAGCCCACTGCTTGCCTGGCAACAAGGAGTCCCTTGTGTTGGGAACGGTGAGACATTTTCTGAAACAAATCTCAAATCCAGACTATCGTGGGAAAGAAACTCCACTCTGAGCTGAGAGAGGAAGGAACTTCTAATAATAGTGCACAGCTGACCCACTTTTTAAATGTTGGTGTCAGAAGCCACCGCGTGTAAATTTGCTGCCCTGAGAGCCCCGCCCTGTCTCTGGGAGAAGTTTGCTTGTCTCTGAATGAACACTTGCTGTGCAGCCGGCATGAGGAGCAGGGACACAAGCCCAACAAAACCACCCCTGCCTCTGGGACCCATGTCCTGGGAGCACCCAGGCAGGGACAGTGGCCAGGAAACATGGCCACCGTCTCAGAAGCCAGAGAAGCACATCTCGTGGCACAGAGAGGAAGTGTGCCACCAGCTGCAAGGGAGGGGGTGGCATTCAGACGGAGGCTGCCTCCAGAGTCCATGGAACACAGCCGCCAGTCAGGGAGGGAGACCAGCGAGGCAGGAAAGCGGAACTGGGACAGGCAGGACAGGGAACCCCGGGGACCAGGAGGCGTGTGACAGTGCATCACCTCACGAGCAAACAAGAAAGTGCACATGAAGACCACAGTGAGAAGCCACTGCAAATCACGCACAATGCCACAAATGTGAAAGGTTGCCCGTTCCAGGTGCTGGTCTATTGTTATAACCATTTGGTAGGAAAAAACCAGCATCGTTGACTTAGCTGAAGATCTACTCAAAAGAAATGTGTGCATTTGCACTCCCGAACTGCCCGGAGCTCCAAGAGCAAGACACAGAAAAATACATTGCAGCGAAGTCACAGAAGAAAAGCAGGAATGAGCGTGCATGTTACGGAGATGGCCAGGTTGAGTGTGCCAGGGCAGCCACACGCACACACAACCAGCAGGTGTAGTGTGCTGCACAAATGGGCCACACAGCTACACACTCACAAGGTGGACCTCACACACACGGACGATTTCCTTTATGCAAAGCTCTGAACTCAGCAAATGCCGCCTGCAGTGTACCTTGTGGTGGAGGCGCTGGGGATCGAACCCAGCACCACGGGCCGGCAGATGGAACTCGGGTGCTCAGGGTGCACTCTGGGCAGTGAACCGAGACGAGCCGCGAGGTGGTGCAGGGTGGTGACTGGGGTGCTGGCCGCCTGGCCTTAGAACAAGCGACTGTCACCAAGGGTTGGCAGTGTTGTCTGCTTGTGCTTCTTCGCTTCTGTGCATTACATCCCCCTCCCCAAGGGAAAGGTTAGAAGGAAGAGTCGGAAGAGCGTGTCCAGGCGAGGAGCCCGGAGCCTGCGTGGATGGGACAGTGGGGCATGGAGCCCACAGGCGGGGAGAGGTGGCAGAGCTCTCCTGCGGCCGTCCTGTGCCCACCTGAACCGGGGGCTGCACGACGGTTCAGCACAGCTTCCTGTCGGAACTGCGACGATGTTTCTTCAGGAAGATATATTCGTGAATAGC